GAGCCAGAGGAGGTCAGACATGGCCCCCCATGGTGTTTACTACAGCCAGGGGGACTGAACAAGGCATATCTTGCTCCCTGAGTGGGAGGCGGGGCAGAGCCAGTTCTGGTTCACCCTGCGGTACCACCACTGCCTGGTCTAGGGCACCCTCCTGCTAGATGCATGCTGAGCCTCACCAGGATGAAGACGCACAGCTTGCAGGCTCCCCATTGTCACTCAAGAACCCAGAGTCATGCCTGGCACGAAACAAGACCCCCGTGGCCACGTGTTCAATGAGACTGCAATGTTAGAAGCTCCGTTTTCCAGACACTGCCAAGTCAATTGTGACTCATGGCTACCCCAGGGGCGTGGGAGCACAACGCTTCCTAACTGTTCAGAAGATCACCAGGCCTTTCTCCCGAGGCCCCTCCAAAAGGACTCCAGCATTTCGGCTAGCAGCCAAGCATAGTATCTGTTTGCACCAACAGGGACCCCAAATCCAGCTGACTGCTGCCGTGTACTATCCACCCCGGGTCCCAGCGAAGCTGTGGGGCAGAAGGGAACTGCCCCATAGGGTTGCCTAGGCGGTACCTGGTCTGCTATTCCACAGAGAGGCTGGTGGGTTCGAACCACTGACCTGATAGGAAGCAGCCAAGCATGTAACCATTCTGTCACTGAGTCCGATAGAGAAGGATGATAGAAGTTTGACATTAAAAAGGGAGGGGCAAAGAACTTCTGAGGAAAAGGGCTGGTAGTGTAGGCGAGACAGGAAGCAGAGGCTTCTCGCTGGGCGGGTGAACATTGGTGGCCCCCATCGTATGATCGCGCCCCCCCCTCGCGGCCAGACAGACGGCGGTGGCGGTCTGTACTCACGGATCTCCCGCCAGCAGGTGTTGATGTGCAGGGAGGGGGGAGAGGTTTTCATCCTTCTGCAGCAGACGACGCAAGTCATGGCCAGGGCCATCCTGTGTGGGGCACAGACCCGCGGATTATTCCCACGCCCACCTTAGGCACGTCTGTTCATTCTGAAACCACGCCAACAGCATGGCGGACTGCCCCGCAAAGTAAGATGTCTTTGTAAGGCCTCAAAAGACTTCCAATTGAAAACATTTGGAGAGATCGGTCAGTGTAAGACATGAAAAAATAATAACTTATAAATTATACAGGGTTCATGAGGGAGGGAGGGTCAGGGAGGGAGGTGGGGGAAAGAGGAGCTGATACCAAGGGCTCAATTAGAAAGAAACTGTTTTGAGAATGATGAGGGCGACAGACGTACAGATGTGTTTGACACAATGGATGGATGTATGGATTGTGATGAGTTGTAAGAGCCCCCAATAAAATGATTAAAAAAACCAAAAGAATAAAAACATTTTTTTCTCTCCCTTCAAGCCTTAAAAACTGACTTGATAAAATAACATGTTGCAGGTACATTATTTTTCTTCAGGCTCTGCCTGGTTGCGAGTGGTGCGGATGAACTGGGGATACAGATTATCAGTCACAATACCAGCATCAACTTGATGATGGGGTTCAACAGAGTTAGAAGCCCTGTCCAGATGGCAGATGAACTTAGAACCCATGGAAGTAAAGTAGGACCGGGCAACGCTGGAACCTATGGATGGAAGAATGGCATCACAGCTCCATGTCTAACAGACCCCCACCTCGCCCAGGCCGGTGCCGCCCACTGAGAGGAGTGGGAGAAAGTGGCAATGCCCGCTGGGGGAGGCAGAAAACTTGCAGAGACGGGAAAATGATGACACCCCATGGAGTCCTGGCTCACACAGCACTCGCTCTATTTGCTTTGCCCAGCTCCTCTGAGATGTATGGAGCCCCGGGGACACTGCAGGTTGGCACTGGGCTGTTCAACCGCTAGGCTGGCAGTTCAAAGCCACCAGCTGCTCCCTGGGGAAAAGAGGAGGCAATCTGGTCCTGTCAAGATTTAGGATGCCTGCACAGCAGGAGGGGAACGTCTGGCTCCCAGGCCTTATAAATTGACATGTCTGAAGCAAGAGAGACAGTCTCGCCATCCTTGTGGAACGGAACTCCAATTACAGGAGTCAAGCTTTGGTCAGATAAAGGTGGGTGGGTGGGTGCCTCGAGACAAGGCCTTCAGGTCTGAACCTGAGCTCAACCCCATTAGAATAATCACCCATGAAAGATCAAAAGGGCAGCATCGTGCAAGGGCAGAGGGCTTGAGGAAGAGGAAGGTAAATAGGAAGCACAGGGAGGAAGTGGGACAAGGGAGGAGAGTGAAAGGGACCAGGTCAAACAAAATGTCTAATCCCAATTAAAAGCTGTATTTTTAAAAACAAAGTTAAAAAAAAGAAGAAAAGAAAGTTAGTTACCCTCATCTTTACCAGCAGATGGTAGGGTCTATCCAATTTCAGCTACAACAGTGGTTCTCACCTTCCTCATGCAGCGACCCTTTAATACAGGTCCTCATGTTGTGGGGACCCCCCAACCACAAAACTATTTTCATTGCTACTTCATAACTGTAATTTTGCTACTGTTATGAATTGTCATGTAAATATCTGATATGCGGAATGTCTTTTCATTGTTACAAATTGAACATAATTAAAGCAGAGTGATCAATCACAAAAACAATACATAATTACATATTGTGAAATACTTATTTCTAGTGACAAATAAATGAAATGTTGTCTTGTAGCATGGGGCAGCATGGGTAGCAGTCTTTACTCCAGGTCCTCGCATGTGGGTGTATCTGCATGTGGGCAGACCTGCCTGGAGATGGATAGAGGAGCGGCGTCTCGGTTCCTAAGACCATCCGAAATATGTGTTTTCTGATGGGTCTTAGGAGACCCTGTGAAAGGGTCATTCAACCCCCACAGGGGTCTCGACCCACAGGTTGAGAACTGCTGATCTACAGGGTTGCTATGAGTTAGAATCCACAGCCTGTTTTGAGTTTGGTTTGGTGAGGTTAACAGGTGTATGAGGATGCCTGGTGGCACAGGGAAAGGGCGTGGCTGCTAAGTGGACGGCTGGCGATCAAATCCACCAGCTGCTCCACGGGAAGAAGATGTAACAGTCTGCCTTGGGAATCCTGTTCTACTCTGCCTTCTAGGCTCACATGAGTAGCACTGTCCTAACATCTCACTGTGGCTTTAACTCTCATTTACCTAATGGGCAATATCGGTAAGCATCTTTTCATGTGCTTCTCTGCCATCTGGATTTATTTGTTGGTGATAAGTCGGTTCAAATATTTTGTTGTTGTTGACTGTTTTCTTGCTGTGTTTTAAGAGTACTTAATATCTGTGATTTTGGATGAGCAAACATTCTCAATTTTGATTAAGTCCAATGACTAAGCACATTCTATAGGGCACACTTCAGGAGAGGCTTGTCTAAGCCAAGGTCATGAAGATGTTCTCCTCTGCCCTTTCTACATCGATCATTTTAGGTTTTACATTTAGGTTAACAATCCATTCTGAATTCATTTTTGTCTGTGGTGAGAGGTATGGCTCAGGGTGTTTCTTTTTAAAATAAATCATTTTATTGGGGGCTTTTGTTGTTCTTTTTTTCTTCCCTTACAGTTCTTATAACAATCCATACATCAATTGTATCAAGCACATTTGTACATGTTACCATCATCATTTTCAAAACATTTTCTTTCTACTTGAACCCTTGGTATCAACTCCTTCCCCCCCCCACCCTCCCACCCTCATGAACCCTTAATAAATTATATATTATTTCCATTATGTTCATATCTTACATCATCTGCTATCTCCCTTCACCCAAATTTCTGTGGTTTATCCCCCTTGGGGGTGGGGGCTTTATGTCCATCATTGCTATTGGTTCCTTTTCTCCCCCTTCTCCCCCCACCTTGCCTCTACCCTCATGGTATTGCTATTCCCATGATTGTTCCTCAGGGGTTTATCTGTCCTGGATTCCGTGTGTCGAGAGCTCTTACCTGTACCAGTGTGCATGCTCTGGTCTAGCTGGATTTGTAAGGTAGAACTGGGGTCATGATAGGGGAGGGGAGGAAGCATTAAAGAACTAGAGGAATGTTGTATGCACCCTGGCTGGCTTGTCCCTTCCTAGTGACCCTTCTATGAGGGAATGTCCAGTTGTCAGGATTCTTTTTAAAATATGGAATTGTTGCAGCACCATTTGTTGAAAAAAAGTACCTTCATCCCCACTGAACTGCCTTTCCACATGTGTCAAAAAATCAACTGGCCACCTACCTACATGTGCTTCTATATTTCATTAATCTCCATGTTGTAGCAATCAATACCACAATATCCAGATTACTGTAGATTAATAGACCTTCAAATCAGGTATTATGAAGGCTTGAATTTTTGCTTTTTCAAACTTGTTCTGGCTAGCTCTTTTGCTTTCCCATATAAATTTTAGAATCAATACTTGTATTCTAACAATTAAAAAATTCCACTGGAGTTTTATTAGAATTGCATTAGGGGCACGGTTAGTAGAATTAACATTGTAATAATGAATCTTTAAATCCATGGACATGGTGTATTTCTCCATTTACTTCGTCATCATTGATTTTTTTCCCATCTGTTTTGTAATTTCCACCACACTGACTTTTCACATCCTTTAAAAGATTTGTTCTTCTTAAATAAAAATATTTCATGTGTTGAGCATAATTGTAAATGTAACCATTATTCTTTCAAATGGTTGTTTGGTATTTCAAGTTCCAATTGTTTATCAACTAATATGTAGAATAGGATTGAGTCCATACATTTCTATTGTATTCTTTGGCCTGTTAGTTAGTTCTGGAAACTGTTATTTGTGTAGATTACTTGGGATTTTCTACAGACACTGATGTTGCTTGTGAAATACATAGTTTCACTTCTTCTAACTTGTGTGCCTTCTATTTCTTCATCTTCCTTAATTTCGCTAAGACTTTCAGTACAATATTGAATGAGATTACTGAGAGCAGACATCCTTAGCTTGCTCCTGATTGGAGGAGGAACTCATCCAGCCTATCACCATTAAGGATGCCATTTGCTGTAGACGTCTGAGTTGTTCTTAGATGTCATCGAGTTGGTTCCGACCCATAGCGACCTTAAGCATAACTGAATGAAACAGTGCCCCAGTCCTGTGTCACCCTCCCAACTGTTCTCATGCTTAAGTCTATTGTTGCAGCCACTGTGTCAGTCCATCTGCTTGGGGGCCTTCCTCTCTTTCACTGCCCTCTACCTCACCAAACATGTTTTTCTCCAGGGACTGGTCTCTCCTGGCAACATGTCCAAAACATGGAAGACAAAGTTTCACTACCTTTGCCTCTAAGGAGTACTCTGGCTGATCACGACAGATCAGTTTGTCCTTTTAGCAGTCCATGGTATTTTTCTTTGCCAGCACAATTCAAATTCATCTGTTCTTTAGCTTCCTTATTCAATATCCAACTTTCACATGCATATTAGCCAATTGCAAATATCATGGCTTGGGTCAGGCACACCTTAGTCCTCAAAGCAACATTCTGCTTTTCAACACTTTAGAGAGGTCTGATGCAGCAGATTTACCTAATACAATGTGTCTTTTGATTTCTTGACTCCTGCTTCCATGAGCATTGATTGTGGATCCAAGCAAGACAAAATCCTTGACAACTGCAATCTTTTCTCCGTTTAGCATGATGTTACCTATTGGTCCAATTGTGAGGATTTTGGTCTTCTTTAGATTGAAGGCTGCAATGCTTGACTTCATCAGCAACTGCTTCCAGTCCTCCTCACTTTCAGCAAGCAAGGTTGTCAGCTGCATATTGCAGGTTGCTCATAAGCTTTCCTCCAGTCCTGATTGTACATTCTTCTTCATATAATCCAGCTTCTCTGATGATTTGTTCACTAGACAGACTGAATAAGTATGGTGAGAGGATACAACCCTGCCACACCCTTCCTGATTTTAAACCATTCATTAATCCCTCGTTCCATTTTTATAACTGCCTCTTGAATCACGTACAGGTTCCACATGAGCACAGGGAGCTGTTCTGGAATT